CTGCTTTGATTTAAGATTCATATTCTTATCAATAAACTTTTCTGGATCTTGAATGATGGTTATTATGCCACTGACCAACTGATACTGTGGTGAGAGCTAGCTGCAAACCAAAAATTGTAGACACAGATATTTACGTCCCGAGTCGGGGTCATGAGAAAAGAACTGTAACAAAGCTTAACCTTGAGGGACTCAACAACCAATCACAGCAGACTTAGCGTGTGCAAATACGATTCACAGTACAGAATAACCTTCAGCAAGAAAACAACCAATCAGAAGGCATTGCTTCTCTGCTAACAATAACGAATAATAATATACATAAGAATCTATGAATATCTGTTGATTTTCTCAATTAATGATTTGTTGCCTGGCCCTTGTCTTCTGTCGTTACAATATAAGTAGATACAACTACTCAGGTAAATCAGTAATGTTTGTTAGTTAGGTTCTCTCGTTCTCTTATTGGATCACTGTAGTTCGGCTAACGAGTACTACTTGTTGATGTGTGGGATTTATATCTACTTGTCAGCATTATCCACTTATGCCTTTTTGCCTGCAATTCTCATTATTATTATTATTATTACTTTCTTCACGTTCTCAGTGAAACATAGGGCTTCAAGCTAGAGGCTTGAAGTTTCGACAGCAGTGTTTAATTTTACAGGATGGGGTTGCTAGCCTCAGACCCAACCTTTCCTCTTAACCAGTGTTATTACTGACTTAATGAGTTTAAGAAGTGCGTCGGCCGGGGATCGAACCCCGGACCACATGCGTGTTTGGTGAGCATTCTACAGCTGTGCCACCGACGCGCTTTTCATTGAGTGGTGATATTTCCACTAAGACTGCTGATACACACCCAGTTGACAAGTGGCATATAAAATGTGTATCCTGAGTCTCCCTGATAGTCGCCATCTACGAAGTAGCATCATATCAGTCTTCAGACATAGACGAAGTGTTGATATGTAGTGCACAACGAATGTTTGAATTTTTGTTTTAACGCATTCATTTACTATGGCGCCACACATGATCTGGTTTTTTCCGGTGTGATTGTACACACGTGATTGTTGTACTACCATTAAGCGCACTCTTAGAGCCTACTACCCAGCCGGGCAACAGATAAATTGTACAACAATCTTATTTATTAAAATACAAATCTCATCATTATACACTACCCAGTTTCAAGCCTTTTTACTTTGAATTCGTTAGTCAGTATTTACACACTAGGTAGAGTACTGCTAAGGGTATTAAGAGGAGAAGTTTTTAGTAATCAAGGTTAGTTGAGGTTTTGGAGGTTGACGGTATCGACGTTCGCGAATTGTACAGAGTATACTAACGCAAGATCTTATACCAACAACTTCTATAGTATTCGCTCTTCGTGTATCAAAGACAAAGCAAAAGACCAGATTTAGTCGTCCAAAGTACGAGATATATTTCGGGACCAAATCGCGGGCTGAAGTGAATGCTTAGCTGGCTAGTGATCGTGCACACACGTTACACGACGGAGCACCAAATGGTAAGGATGCTTGACCGGAAGCCTTCAGCTAAACAAGTCGACTTAAACAGTGAGGGTCAGCATCCAATGTTGAGTGATGATTGCTGTGGTCAATAATTTTGGGGAATTATTTACCGCTACAAGGTCTATCTTAGGCAACCAACACCTACATATATTAGGAACCAGCAAGTTAATACAGAGACTGAATGCCTTGGTTTAATAGGTGATCAATCGACGGGGAATATAAAAACTAAATTTAGGCAAATACCGATAACTTCATATTATGGCGACCCAAGTAAACGGACATAATGGTCTTGACCAACTTGTTAAATGAGCCAGTGGTAAATAGGCATCATTTAAAAAAACCTTTTTATACATATCAAAGTTAGTATTAAAAAGTGGTTATATGCGGCAACTCTCGCGACTTTATCCAAAAAAGACCTCCTAATCCCTCACTGGAGTCTTCAGTGACAATCAGAACCTGTTTTTGAACATACTCTCATCCAGACAACTGCATATCATGCTGTTTTGTGACTCATTCACCGTTCTACAGTACCCATGATTAATACTACATATCTTCTTGGATAGACTTCCTGTATTACGACAACCTCGATATCTCTAGGCATACATATCCATCAACAGCGGCTGCATACCTATTCATCAAAGACACTACTCCTCCACATCTGAAATCTTCCTATACGCCTATTAACCCGACAGGTCTCAAATACCACCTACCTCTTGATGAAACTGGCAGTGTAATTCATGTACCGCATTTGTATTTTCGCGTGTTTACTATGGACCCACAGCTCCAGCCTTGTGTCTCCTCAGGTAAAACAAGAAGTCTTTTCAGAAGACTTAATGCAAGTACTACGTCTAAGTATAAAAATCCGCTATACCATATTTGACGGCACGTATTTTATGTGATGAAAATAGTGTCAGGCATGAACTAACTAACTTTCTTTGCACCACTAAATAAACCATTTCCTCCACCCTTACAACATCAAACTTTATTGTTATTGTTCTTCTTATATTTATAATCCTCGCAATTTTTTGTTTCTATTTGTTTATTTTTTCATAAGTTTGAATATCATTTAAGCTGTGTTATAACTGTTAATTTTGTATTTCCCCTCACCATATTGCTATATCAACAGAACATTAGATTCAATAACCTATAACATGCTACAATTTCCAAACTGAATCGACAATACTGTTTGAAACAAACACACTGTTATTATTATTATATTTATTATTCCCAATTCGTACTTCGAATATTTTTGACTTTATATCGTAAATGTGGACGAATTCCTCTGGTTAATTTTTGTTTTAATTTCTAATTTTATTTATATTTTAATTAAATCAAATGCAATGTTGTGACAAATGCTGAGAATTCCATTCTGTATTAGAAGTGTGGCGAGAGCTGGCTGCTAGCCAAAGTTGGTAGACAGTAATTGACGTCAATGTTTATGTCCCCAATATTGGTGGTGAGAAAATGAGAACAAAGGCTTTGCGTATGGATGATCTGACACTGCCACAAAGAGATGCAAGGTTAACTTTCTGTGAGAAACAACCAATCAGAAGACTGTATTTTCTACTAACAAAAATCTACAATAATGTACATTATTATTATTGTTCCCTTGGGTTCCTAGTTGAACATAGGGCTTCAACTGCACGTCTCCACTTGCTTCTGTCTTCTGCTGTACTTTTCACCTACATCCCTTTAGTCCATACTGTTTCAACTCATCTTCACACGATCTCCTCTATGTTGCCCTTGCACCGACGAACCACTCGCCGCTTTCCTTTCGGGTTCCACTCGAGCACTGGCCTGACGCGCGATGTCACCCAACGGCCTCCTCAGCGAGTGTCCAATCCACCTCCACATTCTCCTGTATATTTGTTGAGCGATTGGTTCCTGTTTTGTTTCTTCCCATAGCTTCTTGTTGGTGATTCTTTCCGGCCATCTGATCTTCAGTATAGAGCGAAGACAGTTGTTGATGAAAATCCGAATTTTGTTGTTGATGCAGGCTGAGTGACGAAGATTTCCAGATTGGTTTTAAGTTGATGAATGTGTTTCTCGCCTTCCCGATTCTCGATTTGACATCCTCGTCCGTTCCTCCTGTAGTTGAGACAATGCTTCCTAGATAAGTGAATGAAGTAACCTCTTTCAAATCCCTCCCGTTGATGGTGATTGGTGCTGGATGTTGCTGCTGTTGCTGTTGGTTGGTTGGTTATTTTCATAACCTCCGTCTTGTCTATGTTCACCTGGAGTCCTGTCTTTGCTGCTTTTTCGACCAGTTTGTCGGTTTACGCTTGTAAGTCTTCGATTTTGTGTGACATCAAACATAAATCATCCACGCGCGAAATCCAGGTCTTCTAGGTTCTTCACGCCTATCCAGGATATCCCTGTCTTCTCGTTTCCCACTGTCTGACGCATAATCCAGTCCACGACAATTAGGAATATCATTGGTGATAATAAGCATCCTTGTCTGACTCCTGTGTTTACTCCAAACGCTTCGCTGAGACAATAATGTACATTAAAATCTATAAATATGTGTTGATTTTCTTCAATAAACGATCTGTTGCCTAGACCTTGTCTTCCGTTGTTACATAAGTACTGTTTTTTGAATAAAGTAGATTATTATTATTATAATTAATTATTACGTCTGTTCACTTAGATCGCTAAAGTTTAAAATTACCCAAATAACACTTCCATGATCACACACGCTTGGTTATTAAAACAAAAAACACATGCAGATTATGGCGCACTAATAAATAGTTCATTATCCCGATTTCTTTGCTTCACATTTATAACATAATCATCTGAATACATAAATACAATAAAATTGAAACATTGAATGGAAAAAAACGTACCAAACAACAACCAATAATATCATAATCCAAAGTTTTGTTTTAATGAATAGTGTGAAGTATAGAAAATAACCAGAAAAGAAAATAAATACCTTAAAATATATTTACACAAAAGATACAGCTGTCAGATTAAAATAATAAATCTTATAAATTAATACCAATATATATATAATTTCATTCACTTTATTGGTTTGTTTAAATGAAGTCAAATTACAGTTACAAATGAACACATGTTGAACATTGAACAAGTCCAGTTTATTCTCTCGCACAAACACCAGCCACCTAGACCTAATTTTTTGTTTTTTTGTTTTGTAAAATGCGGAGAAAAAAGCACCCAAACAAAACAGGAACAAAAATGAAGGAGAGATTCGAAAGACAACTTGTTGCGTTTTGTTTTGTTAGAATAATTGAAAGAAAAATTCATGACAAGGCGGAGGGAAAGACAAAAAAGGCGGGAAATTAATTTTATAGAAAAATATGTAAGCATTTACGAAATTTGTTATTGTTATTATTATTATCATCATCATTAACATCTGTATTACAAATTATATGAAGTTCAAAAAACGGGGAAATAATATTACTACTAATAATAATACTTATTATTATTATAATACATAATACTTATTAAGGTTATAATGATAATATTTTAATTTCAAACATCTGGAAAACATGGATTTAAACTATGCTCATAACAGATGGAAGCAAGTTCATAACAGAATTCATCAAAAATAATTGAAGCATAAACTAAATTACGTGTTTTATTCGAGATTTCAGTAGTATCTGAACTACCGGGAAATTTATGATGACTTCCATCCATTGTCTTACTGTTATCACGATTACCATCATCGCCATTACCATCACCTTCATCTTCTGATCCTGAATTATACACTTTCGATTTGCTCCGACGATGATCCGATGAGAAAAGTGATGAACGTGGTTGTCGTTGTTGTTGTTGCTGCTGTTGTTGTGGTTGTAATGATGCACGTTTTAATACAGGACTGAGTGCAATTCGACTAGTTAATCCAAAGAGTTGGTTAATTCGACTACGACTACTATGACGTATATGTGAGCCAATATTACTCAAACTGCTAACACTACCACTACGATGTGAACGTTCATCACTGCCTTTTTTACTATTATTATTAATATTATCCACCATTGACGGGGTAGGATAGATAACAGGTGACAAAGGGACAACATGTTGAAGAGAATTTTTGTGTAAATGACAATCTGTTGGATGATTTTGTGAAGGATTCGATGTAGCACCTCTGCCTTGAGATACACCTAGAAATAGAAGAATAAACACTTCTCTAGATTGGGCAATACAATTTTAGAAAATATAAAAAAAATATTACGATCATATATGAATGAAAACTCTTGGAATTAAACACATTGGATCACAGGAAGTATTAGGAAAGGAAAAAGACGGTTTCAGCGAAGACAATTTTCTCTATGACGAAGTCATCAACTAGGAAGTTGTACATTTGTGTGTATTTATAGAGTAAATGGGTCAGAAAGTTCAAGAACTATTTCCCGATGAAGGGTGAAATTAATAAAATTACAAAGGAGAATTAGCTATGGTGTTAAACTATAAAATAAAACGAATAGAAGGTAGAGTGCACGCTAGCGTTTATGAAAAGCCAATGCATTCTGCTAATAGATATTTAGACTTCAATTCATCTCATCTGTCGTTATCTGTAAAGGCAGGCTTAGTTAACTGAGTGTCTAAAAAACCAAGCAGTAGCACTAAGCAGTACAACAAAATACCTAAACGATGAAATAAAGCAAACTGAAGAAGCGTTGGTTTTAAATAACTAACTATCCGATAAAATTCATTAGCAATATCAAAAAAGATCAAAAGCAAAATAAAAATAATGGTGAAACTAATAATAATAACATAAATAAGAGAGAATATAAGGCATCTACAGTACTACCATATAAGGAGGGGACATCGGAAACCCTACGTCAGATTCTCAATAAGGCAGGAATTACGTTTGCATTCAAACCTACAAACTCACTCACGTAGGACAAGCTGTGCAGGCTAAAGGACCCTGTAGGTTGACCCAATTAGACAAAATAATATAAGTTACGAAATACTTTGCAATGACTATGAGTGAGGTCAACTACATAGGTCAAACTAGTAGGTCGAGGGTAGTCAGATTGTCGGAACACAAGAATTTAGCTAAGGTTAGAATGATTGACCCCGCGAAGATAAGTAATTTAGAAAAAGAAAACTCAGCGATTGCACTGCATGGATTAACACACAACCACACAATAGGTTGAGAGAGGATCAAAATTCTACGAAGTAATATGAGTAGGTGGGGAGACAGAGAGGCTGGTTACTGAATCCTTGTTCATCGAATCTACACCCAACATGTGCAATAGGAATGTCTCATCACTCATACCGGAAATATGGAAAATACTACTACCAATCATCAAATCAAGCGATGAAAAATAACGGAATTATATAAACGAAGTTAAAAAGTTGTGTGAGTAGTTTCCTGATATGATTATGAGCAGTAAATTGTGCTCAAAACGTGATCATCAGCAGACGTTACTGTACTGTATAACACTGTGAGACTTTATCAAAATACATTTTACCCACAATCGAATTATACTCTCTACCACCACAGTGCACAAGTTCTATTCTTATATAAAATTACGAAGTGTGAATAAACAGAAAGATCGGATGAAAAACGAAGATAGTAGGATCATAAATCCCTGAGAAAATTGATTTTTTGTACAAATAGAGATTAAGAATGCAGCAATCCCAAAACAGACAGGAAGTTCGGATAAAAGAACACATTGGTTACTTTGATCGGACACTAACTAGTGTGTCATGCGTCTTGTCTTTTGTTTGGTGTAGACTGAATTCTATCAGTTGGGTTAACAATGTGACCTCGATAGTGATTATCCTATTACCTAGATTATTATTATTATTATCCTCTAATGTCACAAAAACTCGAATACTTTCACGTAGGAGAAAACCAACAAACTGGCTGAAGAAACTGGCAGGCGGCGAAGACAGGACTTTAGGTGAACATAGAGAATACGGAGATGATGAAGATAACCAACCACCACCAACAGCAACAACAAAAAAGAGCACCAATCACCGTCAGTGGGAGAGATTTCCAAGAGGTTGCTTCCTTCACTTATCTAGGCAGCCAGTATTGTTTCAGCCACAGGCCAGCGGAACAGACGAAGATGTCAAAGCCAGTCAAAACCTGAAAGGCAAGACACACCTTCATTAACCTGAAACCAGTTTGGAAATTTTCTGAACTCCGCCTCAGTATAAAGAACAAGATTCGAATTTTCAACACCAATGGTTAAGTCAGTCACTTCTTCTGTATGGGTCAGAAACTTGCGCTGCGTACGTACATGTCACGGAAAGCATTTCCAAGAGGTTACAGACTTTTATCGATAGATGCCCCCTTCACTGGTTGTCTTCATACTGAAGATCAAATGTTCAACTTGCCGGTCAGAAAGAATTAGCAACAAGAAAATCGTTGGCTGGCAACGAACCAGCCAACAATCGATCGCTCAACAAACACATTGATCACACGAAGTCAATTAGTGGATGGTGACTAGCAGTGATACGAATCCAGGATAAGGCGCATTTCGTCCTATTTGGGACTCGTCAGCTATCTGGATATACCTGCATTCCCCAGTAAGTTAGTGATGGTGTCTCAACCGAGGCTCGAACCCAGTGCCCATAGTTTCAAATGCCAGCCAAAGCGTTATCCACTAGACCACTTGGGCGACGACAGCCACCTATTATGCAACGGGTCATATTAATTATTTAATTGAATTTTGGATTTTCCCATCGATTAACTGGACCGAGTATTACTGCTAAGTGAAATTTTATGTATACATACATATATAAAAGCATACCTTTCTGCTGACTGTTTGAAGAATTTGTTGTCATCTTTTGTCGTCTATTGATCTGTGAACTACCCCCACCAGCACCAGCACCGCCACCACCACGATGTGTTGTATAAAAATTTGGATCAATTGTCATTTTAAACGGACCCGGCCATACAATATTCAAGTAAACACGAGCACGGAATACAAGTGACTTCCATTGTTCAACAGATTCTGAAGCAACTACAATTTGACTGTTAACTGATCTAAGAACCTAAACAAACGCCGACAAAAAAATGAACGAAGGTTAAACAAAGTGACACTTTGAGGGGTTTTCTTTTTTTAAGACAATGCAGCAACACAGTTATGCTAACTCAACTTTAAAATTGATCTTTCATACTAAATGGAAAAAAATGATTAGTTACAGGATTTCATCATGAGCTGACATTGGTTAGAGAATCATTGGAAAACAAGCTGGGAGTACTACACATCTGTTTTGTCAGCCTAGTTTGGGGCTCTTCAGCAGTACGCGACCACCCCACTGGGGTTCGAACCCAGGGCCTTACGGTCACGAGCTCGCCTTGTAACCAGAAGGTCCTGGGTTCGAACCCCAGTGGGGTGGTTGCGTACTGCTGAAGAGTTCCAAACTAGGACCACAGAAACAGCTGTCCAGTACACCCTGACTGGTTTTCCAATGGTTCTCTAACCAATGTCAGCTCATGATGAAATCCTGTAACCGATTATTATAATTATTATTCCCATAAGTTCCGAATGGAAAATAGGGCTTTAACAGCAAATTTCCACTTTACACTGTTATCTGAAGTAGACTCTTTGGCTGGCTCTACAATGGACTATAAGCTTTCATCATCTTCTCCTCCTCCTTAAACGATCTCCTTCGTGACACTCTCGAAAGAACACCAAACGTGTTATTTCCCACTCACGTTCCACTAGAGTGTCTGGCGGGCGAGCGATCTCACTCAGTGTATATGTCCAACTCTCTCCTGAGCATATTTCTTCGGCAATAGGTTCTTAGCAGCTTTGTTACCAACGAACGATTACATATTGGGTAGCTGAAGGCAATCGAAGGGGAATGGCAAATCTAGATTTCGTGTTTACTTGATACTTGTCAGAAAGAGAATCCCTGATTCTTCAGATGACATCAATGAACTGCTTGCTGCATGTTTAACACAACAAATATCGTAGTACACGAAGTTGATTACACCGTGTTGACTGATGAATTTATTAACCACAGTCCTACAGGAATTCGGTCTTAAGCTTGAATATCTCTGACTGCAGTACTGGGTGACATCAGTTCGAATCTTTGAGAGGAGGCTAGTTCCCCAGGAGTTCCAGATACGCCTGCCAATAGCCTCCAACTATCTAGCACATCGCTATTCTATTAAGCTCAATAATAAGATTCTTTATTAAGTCAGCGTCAGTGGAACAGCGGCTAACAACCCCATCCCGAAAAATGAATACCACTGCTGCAGAAACTTCAAGCCTCTAGCTTGAAGTCCTATGTTCCACTGGGAACGTGAAGCAATAAAGAAAAGCTATTTAGACAGCAAACTACACTCGATCTTATGTAATTTATCTAAAGAGATCAGATCATATACCAATGTATGCGTTAAATCTATTGAAAGAGGCCTAAATATCAGGAAATGTTATAAGCTAGAATCACAATGCCTCAGCTTTCTTTTTAACCTCAATATTGATTATTTATTATATGAATGTTTATCAAGGCGTAACTGATTAATGTAATCAATAAAACATCCAGTCTTATTTGCTTGTATAACTTTGTAACCTTCCATAAAGTTTACTTCCTATATCAGTTCGTTACCTTATAAGAATGGTGAATTTACAATCTGTCCAAATGGCTGAGTGGCATGCAAATTTTTTTCCAACCCTAAAGATTCTAGATTCAATATCCCCAATAGAATAATGCGGTACGTGCTAATGAAAAGTTGTCAACTGAGACGAAACCCTGTGAATGGTTTTCAATGGTTCTTTAACTGAAGTCAGTTCCTGATCGAACTTTGTTATCGCCTTACACCCTCTGACATGTAAATGAGAGAAAAACATCAAAACTTACACAGTAATAGACTAAAATTAAAATTCAAAGACAAGAGCTGATTTATCCGAATTCCTAGATAACTATATCTGAAGAATATCAGGTGAAACCAATCAGTTGTCTATAAATCTTCAGGGATCTATCTTGTCAAGAAATAACGTGAATAAAGAGCTACTTATAGTTGCCTTATCTCAAATTTTGACTCTTTATCACTACACGTTCACGACCCTATCAGGGATTACACGTAGAAAAAATTTAAGCTACAGGATGAGTACATTACCATTTCGCCTATGAATATTAACTCCTACCTATTCGCAATAATACAACACCATTGGGAATACCTGAGAGAAACATGAAGCTTGAGGCCTATATTCTGAAGTTTCAGTAATGGAGTTATTCTAGTTACGAGTCAAGGTTGTTGTTAATGAATAGTATAACAGGAGAGGTTTAGTAATTGGTCAGTCGGAAATCGAACCTTCACCTACCGTGTGCTTGCAACTCATTTCACCATTGAACTAAGAAAAATTATCGGTGGACTGCTTAAAACCAGAAACCACCACAACTATATTGCATATTACTTTCTCCTATCTACTTTGTTTTAATTGATTAAAATATGACCTCCATTAGTATTGTTTACTCTTGTGAGTATTTAAAATGTTTAAAATCTGCAGATTCTCCAGTTTCTATTGCACTAGAGAAGAAGCATAATTGTGCGGCGGCGGGGGTGGGTTGGGCGAAGCTGCAACAAATCTCAATACATGAGATAAGTGTTACTGAGTTATGTCCATGAGTCTCATCACTCATGTAAGCTATGCTTTCACCATACTCCACCTTCTCACTTCAATGAGTACACCATGTTATTAACTGTCAGAGAAAGGAATGATGCTATTACTAGTCCTGATATCACTTGGCTAAAATGCGCAGATTATTTAAGCTACAATTATGTGTCATAGATTTACGCACAACATGTAGGACAAGTGATGTACATAATAGATATTTGTTCCTCATTGTGTGAAATGCCCTGAATCTATTTTTTTCGTGTTTATAATTACACTACTTTTAAATGTTTAAGTACTATCATTTCGTACAATTCTTTCCCTGGAATGAACTTGAACAAAGCAAAAACAACAAATTAAACAAGATAATTTTCAGGTATTGGTTTTGTCGGAATTTTGTTTGATTGGATGGAGGGTTTTATCATGAGCTGACATCAGGACAAAATAGCTGTCCAGTAATCCCAGGTTTTTCAATGGTTCTCTCATAGATGTCAGCTCATGATGAAACCCTCCAGCCAATTAAACAAGATAACACAAGCATGTCGTCTTATTTTGTGGGGTCATATCAATTGTATATAAAACCTAAGACACATTCCATATCCATATACAAAATATTCACACACACTTCAGTTAAGTAGTTAAACAACGGCAATTACTAATATCAAGAAGGGACACTGACACCAACGTGATATCCGGCGGGTGTACAGCTCAGCAGTTCGCTCTGTCCCCCTTTATAACTGCCTGTGAGACCTGGCCATTGAGAGTGGAAGACATGAAAAGGCCGGCTAGCTGTCTTTCATCGTAGGTGACTGCATTCTATCTCCTGTGTGAAGTGGTATAAGCGAGTGAGCAATATTGAGGTTAGGCTTCGGTCGAGTGCTAGGTAGGTGGGAGGAGAAATCAATAGACGATGCTGTGAATCTATATCGCCTGAGATAGTTAAGACATGTAAAACGCATGCATGCCTAGCCATCGCCTTCCTCACACGACGGGCAATGTTAGCTGACTGACATAGGATTGATCAGGTTGGAAAAGAACCAGTGGTGGTCAAACCAAAACATGGCTTCGTCAGTCAATGAAATTTACAACAGTCAGTTTAAGCCAGCCAGTCACGTGAGAAGGTGTAGACCTCCTGGTTAGGGTCTTCGGGACGGTAAACACCAATGAGGGCTGGAGACAATTGGTGATATGGCTCAAAGTGATCGTTTTCAATGTCTGGCGCAGATGCATCCACTCCTTGTGACTTATCCAATAAAACTATATCGTTCTTCGATATTACTATTCCTTTTGTCTCATATCTCTGTTTACTGTCACTATTTTGCATTTCTTTTTACTTTTTTCTCTTGTTTTGTGTGAAAAGAAATGGAGTGTGGTAACTCGAACTGCTGCACATCGGCGCAAGGTTCTATGTTGAAACCAGTCAGTCAGTCAGTCTCTGACACCAAACCAACTCGGAACATATTGCTTAACAACTATGCTTAAGAAAATGGTGACAAACAGGACAAAATCTGAGACTGTTGAGTGATGCCGCGCACCAGACAGACGCATGACTGGAATGTGAATGGGAATAAACGAGTTAGTTGGGCGCAGGTCCAAGTATGAAAATGGGGGAGTTTACGTGAGCAAGAGATGAAAGCGGTGTATAGAGAATCGTGGAGCAAGCTGAAAACAATTACAGAGGGAATAGGATGAAATGAAAATGTGATATTTGAAGCCCTTTATGTTTCACTCGGAACCCAAGGGGATAGTAAGATAATAAATAAAATAACTATTTATATTACGTGATTAAGAAAAGAACCACAGATGGACTGACAAGTCGGACATTAATTAGGAGGTGAGGAGAAGACAAAGTAAGCAGCACATGTTACCTAAGAATGTTCAATTTTATTGATTCTAAGTGAACAATAAGTTCAAAAGAGGTCAAATATTCAGGCCAAGAGGACGAAGAAAACTAAACGAAGAGGTATGAAATGATATTGAAAAGTTTAACTGAAATAACGAAATTTGTATGATTTTTAAACGCCAGATGACCAGCGACTGCACTGCTGAAGATATCTTGCACCTTTCAGGAGCAGGGTCCTAAAAATATGCTCCAACATGCGACCACAAATCCTTCTGTGCTTTTTATCCGATGTTTATTGCTTTGGCAAGTACATTTAAATTTGAATACGCAGTTGGAGATAAGAAAAAGATGGAGGGAGGTGTCTTGTCAACCCACTACAGTCCTACAGGAGGTCAATCGCGAGCCAGCCCGAATAGCTCAATGGTAAGGTCTCTGACTGCAGCCGTCACTGAGTGACACGGGTTCGAATCTCGTAAAGGAGGGACATGAGTTCCTTCAAGGTTGCAGATACGCCTTACTGACTGACTGTTGAGTGCCAACTAGCACGAAACCTAGGTCAAGCAAAGCCTCCTGTGGCCGATTGCCTCCAACTATCTAATATCATCAAACCTTAGATTATTTTAGTTGAAGGATGACTAATTAAGTTCAAATGAACTTACCCAGAAAGTTCAACTGGTTGACAGGAGTAGTATTCAACTACTCATTTCCACCAATCAGTAGTATGTAACATCAGACATTTATCCTACAATTTTCATTGGAATTTATTGGGGGATGGGGGGAAAACTTCATAGGATAACATAAACTCCTTTCCACTTCATCACAGAGAATAATGTCTACCTAGAATATTCTTTATTCTACCTAACAAGCTTTGTTAGATGACAACAGCACTAATAAAATGTCATATGGTTGAAAAGAAAATACAACTAACCGTACAGGAATCCATCTTAACTCAAAGATACTTTATTTAGAATCGATTTTTGTATTGATAATTCACTTGAGAAAAAGAACACACTCCAATTATAATAACTAGCTGATTGTTAACTGTGTGAGAGAAGAGGTTACTTCAGTCACTCATCTTACAATCTTTTTAAACTTTACTCAACCTGTTTATATCTATTTTTAGTAAGTCATTCAATACTATCGCACACTTACATATGTTTCTTTTATTATGCTAATCTGTATTCTCATCTGTTCTCACTTTTTTCATACCTGTTAAGTGCACACTTAACCACTACTGCAAGACTCTTTAAACCTTTAGAAATTGATGTCTCACGCAAACTAGCTAAATCACTTCACTCAGCCAACCAGCACTGTGTCAACCAAAAGACTCAACAACGAAAGAAGATAAAACCAACATCGCATGGAGGATTTCATCATGAGCTGACATCAGTTAGAGAACCACTGGAAAACCTAGGAGTACTGCACATCTGTCTCGTCCTAGTTTGGGACTCTTCAGCAGTACGCGCCCACAGGGTTTCGAACCCAAGGCCTTCTGGTTACAAGGCGAGCTCGTAGACCATTGAACCACTGAGACCCGATCCAATGGTCCTTGAAAATGGTAATTGAAACAACCGACATCATCTACAAACTAAACTGTAACAACTACGAAAAACACTACATTGGCCAAAGTGGACGACGTTCTCTTTGTCTTCGTATCCACAAACATAAGCTAGCAGTCAAAAGACATAACATCCATCCACTCATATCACTACATACAAACAACCACGGACATCCATTCGACTGGGACAACGTTGAAATATTAGACAGAGTAAACAACACCAAGAATGCTAGAGAATTTTTAGAAGCCAGTCTGGTGTTCCAGTGAATCGTCAATCAATAGACACATTGGCATAGACAAAGTTTACCAATCGATAAGAAGGAAATCTCATGCACAAATGGTCAAACTTCAGGTCAAGGAAACAGTCAGTTCCAATACACGTAGCCTAGAGGGTGTGATAATACACAAAAACCACTCACGTTCAAGATCAGGTCACCAGGAGAGATGACTAATAAACTCGTGGAGAAATCTCAAAGTTCACTTCAATTCAAATTGAAGTAAGCGCTGATGTTGCTTAGTGGGTGGGGCAATGACAACTTCCCAAATAAACTATCCAGCTCAGAGAACACAACTACATCAAAATCATCCACCTGAGCTATAAATCTTCTCCATTATATATATATATATATATATATATATATATATATATGTATATCACCAACTGTCTCCAGTCTTCATTGGTGTTTACCGTCCCGAGGACCCCAACTAGTCAGGAAGTCTACACCTTCCTACATGGCTTAAACTAACTGTTATGAATTTCATTGACTCGCTCCTTCTCAACCAGATCCCATATCAGCTAACATTGCCCGTCGTGTGAGGAAGGCGATGGCTAGGCATGCATGCGGAACACATGTCCTAACCATCTCAATCGGTGTAACTTCACAGTCTTATCTATTGATTTCCCCTCCCACCTACCTAGCACTCGACCGAAGCCTAACCTCAATATTGCTCACCCTCTTATACCACTTCACACGGGAGATAGAACGCAGTCACCTACGATCAAAGACAGCCAGCCGGTCTTTTCATGTCTTCCACTCTCAATGGCCAGGTCTCACAGCCAGCCATAAAGGAGAATGGAGTGAACTGCTGAGTAGTACACACGTCCATTGGTCGACAGCCAGTCAGGCGATATCACGTCTACTATACGAGAGATGGCGTAAGTTGGCAGGTATATGCCACACGATCCTTCTGTATCCATGCTGAGACTTCGTCAGCGACCAACACCCTTTGGGCTGGCTGATGCAACTCCCCAAATAAGTAACACATCACGAATTGATAGAGTTACTGAATGATTGATCCAAGTGATTGAAATTGGCAGGCAAGCTTCATCTAGTAACCAGTATACCCCGGGATCCGATCCCTGATACGGTTATAGGTGTGCACTGCTAGAGAGTTCCAAACTACGAGGAAAGAAATGTCCAGTGCTCTCTAATTTTTAATGATTTCCCCAACTAATATTAATTCATCACGAAACTAACGTCGAAATTCATTCAAATCTTTACAAAACTTATAGTCTAAACACAACTAGACAAACATTAACGTCGATACACGCACACAAACAAACAAACACACACAGAGGCAGACATCCCAAACTTACCTTATATAGCGTATTCACAGACGGCTTGACACTTAATCCGACTGGATTCAACAGAAATTCATACAATAATGGACATGGATAAGAAGCCAATGCAGCGAATATATCCGTCAGTAGGAGATTAGTAAAAAAGCAATTATTGTGCATATTAGCCAAACGATTCAATAGAATAGATAAAAAGGGACCTATTTGATAAAAAAACAAAAGATGAACGACATTCAAATAAATAAATTATACTGTATGATTAACAGAGAAATGTTACTCAACAATTATTATTATTATTTCCTTGGGTTCCGAGTGGAACAAAGGCCTTAAATAGCACATCTCCATTTTGTCCTATTTTCTGCTGTCCTCCTTAGCTAGGTCCACGATTGCCCCACAGTCTCTCATCTCCTCCTCCTCCTCGCCACGCGATATCCTACATGTCATCCTCGAACCCACGTCCAACTCGTCGCTTCCCATTGGGATTCCACTCGAGTCATGGCCTGGAGTCCGATGTCACAAGACCATCTCTTCAGAGTGTGCCCAATCCATCTCCACTTTCCCTTACATACTTGTTGAGCGATAAGTTCTTCGTTAGTTTGTACCCAATGTTTCTTGGCCTTAATTCTTTCTAACCATTCGATCTTCTCCTGCTCATCTCCCAACCTATTAGGTGGTTGTGTGTTAATGCATGCAGTGCAATATCGTGCTGAGCTTTTATCTAAATTACTTATCTTCTCGGGGTCAAGCATTCTTACCTTAGCTAAATTCTTATGTTCCAACAATCTGACTACCCCCGACCTACTAGTTTGACCTATATAGTTGACTTAACTCACAGTCATTGCAAGGTATTTTGTAAAGAAGTAATTGAAGATGAATAAAGCATTGTACAGGATACTTTGATCATAAATAGCTATGCTGAAAAATTTATGAAGAAACACATGACAAAGAAAGCCGAAAAGGACAACTCACTATCTGCAAACAAGAATCCACTTTACATACGACTACAATTCAAGGACTATATACAAAGTGAGATAATTACGAAGAAATTAACAAAATCAGTTCAAAGAACTTTTGATGCTGGTGAACTACATGTCTTATTCTCTACATGACCGATGGTGCTACCTCGACTGAAAGATGAAGTACCTAGACTAGCCAGCCACTTCAAATTGTATCTACCAATTCAACTGCGCTTGTAGTGGAGAGAGTTATATCGGCCGTTGCTCTACAAACTTGATTTTTCGTGCTCGAGAACATCTCCCAGTATGGCTAAGCACAGGTGTAGTTAAAACCATTAACAGCTCGATATTAAACCATCTGGTGCAAACCGGTCACAAAACCAGCCAGCGTGGAAGAATCCTCCTCTATCATCTACCGGGTGCCTAATAAATTGCCAAAATCATCGAAGCACCGCAAGCTTCAAACAGCAGAGGCTATTGGAATTCGCATCAAACAACCAGTGCTCTGTGTGCAAAAGAAGCAAGTCAAACCAGCCCCTACTACTTCCCTGGCCTTCAGTGGAAACTATAAACTCATGAATTTGTAATATTATCTTTCCTAATTTTTCTGATATTCAGTGCATTGTTATGTTGATGCTATTCAGCTGTAATCTATCAATATTATTGATTCGATGTTATTTAAACGACATTAATGTTGTTCATAACACTAATTCACTCATTCACTATTATGGATGGATATATAACTGTAGAGCCTGATGATGAAGTTATCGAAAAGAGTATTCTTTGTTTAGCATCCATTCTTTTGAAAATTATATTATTTTGTTTAATTCGATCTGCCTACAGGGTCCTTCAACCTACAGAGCATGTCGTACCTGAGTGAGTTTGTAAGTTTAAATGCCAGCCTAATTCCTGCTTTACTAAGAATCCTACAACGTAGGGTCTCAGATGTCCCTGCGGATGCTGATCTCCATTTGATGGTAAACAATGGCAGTTGTTGCCTAATGGTACACTGGTTGCCATAAGACTCGAGAAAAATGATCAGAAAAGTTATTGTCATTTACGTTGACGTTTACTCATAGACTTTGTACTTTGTAATCGAGTTGCTCTGGTTGACTGTCAGTGAAGAAACAAACAGTCCTCGTATTTTTCAAGAGTTTTAAATAGTCCTCTAACGGATATCAATCCACCGTCAAACTAGAAAAACAAATCCAATTCCTACAAATTAACTCTTGAAAAATTAATCTGTTGCTCGTTAGTGACTTGCTACAGGATCGAGTTTCCTGGCGTTCTAGTAAGAAGTCGTGACCAGTGGGGTCCATCCAGTTGGGTTTAAGGATGCAGTCCCCGTCGATGATATTGGTTGGTGCCAGTCGCGCGAAATATATCACGAATTGGTAGAAGTTAGAATTTATAGGCTGGCGGCCATTGAATCGGGTCCCAGTGTCTGAATGGTACAAAAGCTTGCTTTGTAACCGGAAGGTCCTGGATTCGAAGTCTCCCCCCCTCCAAGTGGGTGCATACTTAAGATGAGTCCCAAACTAGGACAAAACAGCTGTTCAATACTTCCTGGTTTTCAATTATTCTCTAACTGATATCAAACTTGAAAAATCCTTGTATTGCCAATCCGTTTTCTGATATTCTCACGTCAGTTACTAATAGGAAATGGTTTAAAATAGTAACCGTCTTATGATTCATCGTGTGATCAGATGACTATATAAATTTCACCATCTTTCTCTTACCTTTGTGTTGGTCAGATCATCAACCAATCAGAATACTGATTTCTTCCTGACCTAGCCATATCGTCTACCAATCAGAACAATCTATTTCTACTGCCTTAATCAGATTTTAATGTGGTTAAATAAATATAATGCTATTTGATTATTTATCACATTTTTGAAATATTTTGATGACGTAAACAAAAACGCCAACTAACTTTTATTCCTGTCTGACAAGGCTAATGTACACACACACACACACATGCCAAAATAATTATATGTGATTGCGATTGTACAGCTAAGTGAATGAATTCGCCACCGAAAAGAGACTCTTCGATGAACTACGACGTGTTTTGTTTTTCATACATAAATGTCATGTGCTTTTTCCAGCAAAACTAAACTATCATGGACAAAATCGCAGCGACCTTGAGCAACCAATCAGAATTCAGAATCAAGAAAGTCTCACAATCGTTAAAAAATCCACTAAAATCCACTGCATACGTGATATTACACCTTATAATTGTCACGCATGTGGTGTAAGAATGTCTCTCAGTTACTACACAGATGATCTATGGAGGAATCATACCATAGGCGATAGATGCATTCCTCTAAGTGACTCTAGGTCATGGTACTTTGAGATCCATTGATATCTCTGACACTATTCTTTAACCTACTCCTAACTCTAACCGCAACACTAACCCCTAATCTTAACTTTAGTTCTAATCCTAACCTTAATCCTAAACCTTAGACCTTAAACTTAAAAGCCATAACCTTACCTACCTAACAGTATCAATTTGTAGAGAAAGTGCGTAGGGAATAAGGTGAATACTGTAACTACCCTCTTCAAGTCCAAAAAGGCAGTCATGATTTCATTCGCAATAACCTTTCGTAGTATTTCCTGTATCTGATTGGCTCTTGAGGGTCAACTTTTTGACAGACCTTGACATTGGCTATGATACATTAACTTCGTCCTTTTTTTTCTAATAAAATTGTATCCTAACAGACCAGTCTTTGTCTTTTGATATTTACGTGATTCAGTGAAAAAAAGGAAGGTGCCACGGACGAATAGGTGTATACAGCATATCAGTTGATTTGTTCATTGAGTCAGTATTATTATATCCAAGCATCAGTTCACTCCGTCATATCAATTGGCGACGAGTTCATTTCAACTGGTGACACATATCATAACAATTAGGGCACACAGTATTGATTTGATTTTGATTACAGCTTGATTCCACACCAAATTTTTAATACAAGTATAGAATTTTCAGCATGTGATATCGGTGGCCAAACAGTTGATATCAGGTGTGCCTCGGCAGGGGATCGAACCCCGGACCATGTGCATGATCGACGAGAGTCATAACCGCTGTGCCACCGTTATGGAAGAAAATACATGAATCATATGAAAATGTAATTGTCTAGAAGAGGATTTGATTTAGTAGTATGTCGATGGAAAGGTTTCAGGGAGTGCTATGAACTAAAACTAGTAGATATCGCCAAACCTTTAACGTGGGTCGGTGGCATAGTGGTTAGGACGCTCGCCGACCATGCACAGGGTCCGGGGTTCGATCCCCGGCCGACGCACTCCTTTAACTCGCTAAGCCAGAAATAATGCTGGTGAAGAGGAAAGGTTGGGAATGAGGCTAGCAACCCCATCCTGTAAAAATAAACACTGCTACAGAAACTTCAAACCACTAGCTTGAAGAAGCCCTATGTTCCACTGAGGAACGTGAAGGAAAAAAAACCCCTTAACAATCAGTAGTTGATAATTAAGAAGTAAAATGTTTGTATTCGTAGGTGTTGGCTATTCAACTCTCATAGTCCAAACTTAGTGTACGACAAGAGAGACAGCTTATTGTGAATTTTTCGTGGCAGCATTTTTCACACAGTGAATATATTTTTTTCCTCAGCTTTCACCGTTCACTTCCTTTTATTACCTACGTAAATTTAACCCACCACCCCCACGTTATATATTTTTTTAATATTTCACTCCGTTTGATGAATAAATAGTTTCAGTGTTCTACGCATAAAACGTAAGCGGGATCTTTTGGGTCTGAGTTCGTTTTGCGTTTCACTGTCTATCAATTTCTTGTTTTAGAAGTTCTCTAAGCTCTTTTGTGATTCGTCCTTCAACGTTTTCTGTTAAATATATTTTTTGCGACCATGCTTTCTAAATCTGGTATCTCGTTTAGTACTTGATTCATCTTAGAAATGTAGTTTTCTATATTCATTGTAACAGCTTACCGAACCCTTGTCGGGTTGAAGGATACCAAAGTTTTTGTTGTTTCTTAATTCTATTAAGGCTGATTGATATTCTTGAGGGAGAAGTTTATATTGAATAAGTGTAAACACACATAACCAACCTCTTTTTATCTTCGTCAAAGGGTTGGAGGAAACCGAATTAATGAACTCAACTCCTCTTGAAATGAGATGCTGCATCCGGCCTGCTGAAGATTTTGTTTACTACCTGCACCGAGTATGAAGATTATGAAGATACTTTACACACACACACATGAACAGATCTAAAATATGCTTGATGAAACTTGGCTCACTTAACACCACCACCATATTGAAGTGGAAGCCACAAAGTCCACCACCACCTACTTGACGCTAAGATTAACTAGTTGTAAACCAATTGTCAATCCTACATACTAATGTATAACCATTGAGAGTGGAAGACATGAAAAGATTAGCTGTCTTCGATCATAGGTGCGTCCGTTCTATCTCCCGCGTGAAGTGGTATAATAAGGCGAGCAATATTGAGGTTAGGCGTCGAATGCTAGGTAAGGAGGGGAAATCAGTCGACGAAACTGTGAAATTACATCGACTGAGATGGTGAGGGCATGTGCTACGCATGACTAGTCATCGCCTTCCTCGACAGTGAGCAATGTTAGCTGATATAGAGTCAGGCTCGAAAAAAGCTAGCGACGGTCAAACGAAAACATGGCACCAATCAATGAAATCCACAACAGTTAATCTAAGACACGTAGGAAGTTGTAGACTTCCTGGTTGGGGCCCTCGGGATGGTAAAAACCAATGGTTGGAAACAATTGGTAACATGGCTCAAAATCGTTCTCAATGGCTGGTTGGTGCAGATGCATCCACTCCTTGTGACTTATGATTTCCAATTAAACTGTTTTGTTCTTCGTTATTACTACTCCATTGTCTCACACCTCTGTTTACTGTCTATATTATGCATTTCTTCTACTTTCTTCTCTTGCTTTGTGTGCTACATGGGGTGTGGCGACTTGAACTGCCGCAGATATGTGCAAAGTTCTATGTCGAAAACAGACAGACTTTCATATTAGCGATGCGATGATAAAAACTACCATCGAAAAACTACAGTTTCGACAAATCATTTACAACTAACGGATGTATTACATTGTCATTTACCAACACAGTGCACCACAGTGCAATTAACTCACGTATCTCATTCATCCCATCCTATGTCAGTAAAAATGGGATTAGTGAAATGCTTAAATGATAGAGAACAAAAATTAAGTAGTACCAAAGAAAATCTAAAACAGGAACTGATACACATAAAAGAAGCCTTAAAACTTAATAATTACCCGGATAAATTAGTCAGAAAATATGTAAGGAGATGTAAAAATAAAATAAATAATGATACTAGCGATAGTGATAATAACAATAATAATGATAATGATAATAGTGATAATAATAATATTAATGACGACACCAACAATAAAGAATCTAAATCATCAGTAGTAATTCCATACAAGGGAGGAACCTCGGAAGCCTTACGCAGAATTCTTAACAAGGCAGGAATAAAAATGGCATTCAAACCCACAAACTCAATTAGAAACAAGTCTTGTTGGCTAAAGTATCAATCCTGTGGAGCCTTTAAAACAAAACCATTTAGTTTAGCTAGTACCCTGTCTGTGATGATTGTCAGGCCAAATACATAGGTCAAACTAGTAGAACAGGGGCAGTCAGACTAGCTGAACATAAAAACTTAGCAAAATCTAGATTGTTTGACCCGAATAAGATAAGAAATCTAGAGAATAGTTCAGCTATAGCACTACATGCAGTCACATACAACCATACAATAGGATGGGATAGGATGACAGTTCTATAATCTAATGTCAAAGGGTATAGGGAGAGATTGATAACGGAAGCCTTGTTTATCGAATCAACTGGGAGAGAATACGTGTAATAGGAATGATTCAACACCTGTCCACCCAGATATCTGGAAAATTCTACTACCTCAACAACGACACATAGGAGAGAACGAAGAAAACTATGAAACTCAAGTTTCGAAGTCGTGTGATTATAATTGATATGATTATGAGCAGAGGTAAGTTGTGTTCGAAACTTTGTCATCCAGTAAATAATACTGTTTCTTCACTGTGTGTTTCATCTAATAAACAAACTAATATGGAATTACTTACTAACACAGTGCCCATGTTTTACACATATGTTAACTCACGTATCCACAGATATTCCACCACTATACCACAATCAAAAAGTATCAGTAGCCACACTACGGTAATCTCACGAAAACTATACATCAACTAAAAAGCGGAAAGATAACTAGGTACATACCATCACACATTTGTACATCACAAGCAACAATCAAGAACTCTACTCACAGAAACCCTATTCGAAAAGAACGGTATTAGAAGGCTGTAAAATAGTTAATATATAGCTTTTTAGGAAATCATATCCGGTGAGCGAATTGAATCAAAGGTGTGAGTGAATACATGAAATTCTGAGGCAATAATCAGTCTTCTAGAATCAGCACAAGTTTCAGGATTTTTCGCGACCTGTAAAACAGACAGCCGTTTCGTCCTAGTATGATACTCTTCATCGGAGTACACCGACGTTCTCAATGGGAATAGGTGTGGCATTCACTGGCAACGGTGCTATATATCGTGAATAGACCTAGGTCAAAATTCCATCTCCCTTCCACGCAGTGACTGAATGGTCAAAGAACTAGCCTCACAACCCTAGGGTCTTGAGTTCGAGGTCCCCACTGGGGGTGGGTGGGTCAAGAGTCCGACAACAGCGTGAAACAACCGTCCAGTATTCCGTGTTGGTTTACAGCAATTCAACTTGTAATCACACTGGAAATGAAATCGCTGGAAACAACCTCATCTCCGAATGTTTGGATGAGAATTATTCATGAATAAAACATTATCGAAGTAAAAAACAAAAGGAAGTATTCAACATATATAAAAGTATAAAACTCAAAATAATCGAGCAAAGAATATTCTTTTCGATAAATTCCTCTTCCAGAATTACGCTGTGACTTCAAAACCACCCATCCCTATTTTGCGTTCGGGAGTAAAAGACAAACTGCCTAATTTCGCCTCTTCCATATGTATCTACCAATTTAACTGCTCCTGTGGAGCCAGTTAGTTGCATAGGCCGTACATTAGGCATGTTTCTCGTCGAATTTCCGAACATCACCCTGCATAGTGGTTGGTTAAGGACAAACAAAATCTATTCGCAGCGCTATTCTATCTCATCTTGTGGATACAGAACACAAGATTGACGTTAACCATCCTTTCAGAGTCATTTACCGCATACCAAAGAATCTCAATTTTGCCTTAAAAGTTCAACTACTAAATATTGCTGAAGCTGTTGGGATCCATATTAATAAGCCTAATTTGTGCATCAAAAGAAGTTAGTTCAGACATTATCCTTACCTTGGCCATCTAGGTTTGAATGATCCTCAATTTTTTTTATGGAAATTTCCCCAATTTTAGTTGATATTCTATTTGCTATTATATCTTTATTATTATTATCTAAGCATCTTTCATGAACTGTAATTCCATTGTGATCTTACTTAACAAATCGATATTATTTAAAAAAACGCTAATATTGTTATTGACTACTATTCTAGAATATTCTATGTATATAAACATTCATATATAATTGTAGAGCCGGAAGAGGAATTTATCGAAAAGGATATTCTTTACTCGTTCAATTATTTTGTGTTTCATAGATGTCTGAATGAATATTTTCGCTATATATAAAACTTGAAGGAGAAAAAAGAACACCAATGCAAAAGACAACAATAACTCACCTATACCACCGGCTACACCAACAGAATTCGAGTTATGTCTTGCTGACTGTAAGGAAGGTGTTGACGGGAAATCGGTTAATCCACCACGTACACTAGAAGTGCTACTACTACCACAACTACTGTTACTGTTCATCTTATGATGTGATTGTATTGACTCTGGTCTATCCAACAGGACAGAATCTAACAACCGGTCATTGGATAATTTCAATTCTGAAGACTTTTCCTCCATTTGTGTTGAACTCAACGAAGTAGTAGTCTTATTATTGACGACGCCAGCAGAAGCTGTACTATCACCACCACTACTACTGCTATTACTACCGGCCAAAGTTGACGACGTATTCATCAGCAGTGATGTTTCAATATTCATCAACTGTGATGCTTCAAACTCTTTAATATACTCATCTAACTTGACAAAAAATTCATCATCAATTTTACTATAGGATATAAATGGAGGTAAATGACCAAAGTGTTTGGGACAATGTCCAGGTGAAGGGAGACAATCTAAAGCGGCTAAAAAATTCTCCAATTCATATTCTTTTCTTTCAGCATCATCATTATTATTATAACTGTTACTAGGGGCAACGGTATCCATAGCAACACCAATTGAATTATGCTTATGCAATTGTATACTTGGATCTAAATGTGCCAGTCTTAATAAATCTGGCAGTGTTGATAAACAAGTACACCTGGGAGTGGAAGTCGCTGGAGAATGTGGCGTAGAGATTCCTGGAGAAACAAGACACGCTGCTTTCTTTATCTTTTTCGTTTTCTTCTTCTTCTTCGGATTCTGCGTCTTCTCGTTCTCCTTATTCGTCGCGTCTTCCAGTTTCTCATGTAATGAAATTCTTTCATTATTATCGTCATCACCTTGGAGGGAATGAAATAACTCTGTGGAGGCCACTCGAGGCAATTGTCGATTTCCAGTTGTCGGTAAACCTTCTGCAGCTGATACGCTTGCATTCTTGTCATTTTTATCACTATCATGAAGATTTTCCTCATCAGAAAAGTCATTTAAATAATTCAATTGATACATTGATGAAGCATGTTGACGGGATAATGATTGAAGATGGATTGTAGATGAAGACGATGAATCATAGACACCACCACCACCCCCACCTGTCCCACCATCACCATCTTCTTCTTCTCCTTCTTCTGTATCACTTCTTAAGCATCGATCATGTTCTTCAAGCAATTTTACACAACATTGTGTGACACAATCATTCTGCCTAGTAGATTTTGTTGATCCACTTGTTGTTGTTCTATACAAATCATTTTGAGCTTGTTTTTCTTGTAATTCTAGGGCATCGTCTGTTGTCATTTTGGTAGGTGTATTAGACTTCATACCACTACTACTACCACCACCAATGCTACTACTGCTCATACTACTTATATGATTAGTAATTTCAGTAGTTTTTGGCCAATATTGTGAATACCATGATGAATTGCATGCTTGACGTCGACGTGATACACGTGAATGTGCACTTTTTATGTACTTTAATAATTCAGGATAATTATCTGTCAAGAGGATAGGATGTGCTGTGCGAATCACGACCCATTCATTTTTATTCAATGTCTTGTACTTGTCATCATCATCATCATCATCGTTATCCTCGTCATCACTGTCTGTAGCAGAATGTTCACCAGTTGCTGGATCCATCTCTGTATTGATATTTTGTGCATTTAAATCTGTCAAGGGATCTGTATTAGGAGTAGGACCAGTGAAGATAATCTCCTTGGAGTCATTACGTAACTTTTCAACGGGACTATTTGAAGATAAAGAAAAAAACAAAAAACAATGTAAAAACCGAAAATAAATTAATGTATGCATTTATTATTGATTTGTTTATTAGAACATAAACTTGGTATTCAAGTGTTGGCTTGTAGGGATTTGATTGGTTACAGGATTTCATCATGAGCTGACATTGGTTAGAGAACCATTGAAAAATCTGGGAGTAGTGGGCAGCCAGCTGTTTCGTCCTATTTTGGGACTCTTCATCAGTACGCGCCCACCGGGGTTCGAACCCAGGATCTCGGCTTGTAACCAGAAGGTCCTAGGTTCAAACCCCGGTCGGTGCGTACTGATGAAGAGTCCCAGACTAGGACGAAACAGCTGTCCAGTACTCCCAGGTTTTCCAATGGTTCTCTAACCAATGTCAGCTCATGATGAAATCCTATAAACTTGGTAATTATTTAATTCATTTTAAATTTTCCTGTCAATTGATTGAACCTAAAGCTCTCAGTTTCAGGTTGACATGCCGGTGGAGAATGCAGGTACATCCAGATAGCTGACGAGTCCCAAATAGGACGAAATGTACATATTGGATTGTACTGCTAGTCACCATCCACCAAGTGACTCTAAACTTGGCACATTATGCCTACCCAAGAGATGTGCCACATAAATTCTCATAGTTTGTGCAAGGGCTGTAGCAATCCCAGGATGCTTAGACTGAAGTAGATGGTTGTCTTTTAAAGAGTCAGTCCACCCAAGCATTTGAGTTGAAATATTATCCACAGGGAAGAGGAGAGCAGTGTAAGGAGCTGCATTTTCATAGTTTCCGGTGATCAGAACTTTAATCATATGTGCTTGGGTTCTATCTCCCGTGTTAAATAGTATAATACAGTGAGTAATATTTAGGTTAGGCATCGGTCGAGTGCTAGGTAGGTGGTGGGAGGGGAAATCAATTGACGAGGTTGTGAAGTTACATCGATTGAGATGGTTAGGACATGTGTTGCGCATACATCCCTGACCATTGCCTTCCTCAACGAGCAATTTTAGCTGACATAGGATGGATTATGCTGGAAAAGAGCCAGTACGTACGTGGTGGTCAAACCAAAACATGGCTTCATCAATCAATGAAATCCAAAACAGTTAGTTTAAGCCACTTGCCATATCTTTTTTTATTCCTTTACGTTACCAGTGGAAAATAGGGATTCAAGCTAGAAACTTGAAGTTTCAGTAGCAGTGGTGTTTATTTTTACGGGGTGGGGTTGCTAGCCGGTTTCATGTCCAACCTTCCCTCTTTACCAGTCTTATTACTAGCTTAGTGAGGTAAAAGAGTGAGTCGGTGGCCGCGGATCGAACTCCGTTCCACATGAGGCGTGGTTGGCGAACATTCTACCGCTGTGCCACCGACGCACCAGCATGTCAAATGGGGGTGATAATTAACGAAGAAAATTAATACACACACACAATTAAGGGGTAGAAATGGTTAAAACAAGTAGATTGCATAACGCATAGTTTTGCAAAAAATGAAGAGTAATTAAAGAACAAGCGTGTGCTCAATTTGATTACATAGTGGCTTGTCAAAGACAATGATAACATGTAATTAAAGACAAAGTATTCACAAAAACAATAAAATAATTTGGACAATTATAATTTTTAAAGGTTTAGAGGGAAGGAGGTAAAGTAGTCCGGTTTATACATTCCTGTAACGATGGCTAAGGCACGGAAAAAGGCTGTAAAAATTACTTCTCAATACACACAGGTTTCAAGTAAAATTAATATTGGTTAGAGTGCCAAAGATGACTTTAAATGTTGTGTTACCATCAATGCTATGCTCACTATCTACAAGGTGTGCTAAAACAGAACTTAATCATGCTGCAGGATTATGTTCTGAAATACAATGATGAACCTGCCTAACTGTACGCCCAATTTAGCCGGCTCTGCAAGCGCAGTCAAACCGCTGGAACGCAGAAGAGGGGTGGTTGTGAAGAGACAACATACCTCTGCTGTATAATAAGATCTTTCAACTGCATTCTTCAGGCGCTGTAATATTATTTCGCTGATGTTGTCACCGAGGAACTGAAGTTGTATGAACAATGTTTTTTTTTCGGAACTGTTGCCATACTGACTCTCCTAGGTGCTGGATTTATATTTTTTTCAATGAACTTATCTGGATAACCCTTTTTACTAGATAATTCCCCAATAGTGCGTCGGTGGCACAGTGGTTAGGACTCTCGCTGACCATGCACATGGGCCAGGGTTCGATCTCCTGCCGACGCACACCTGATATCTATAGTCGGCCTGCAAAATTTGGGCTACTGATATCCATGCTGAAAATTCCATACTTGTACTGAAAATACGGTGTGGCATCAAGCTGTATTCAAAATAAAATAAAAAATTTTAAAAAATAATCTTAAGCTTCTTATTGAGGCAGTTGTCTGAACAGATTAGGCTAGCTCTATGAACCAGACACTTTACCAAGTCACGTTCAAAAATAAGTGTACTGACTTGTTGTTGTAGGCGGTTTCCTATACACACTTCTTCTTAGTGTGTCATCTTCTTTCCATGCCAAGAAGACATCCACGAATGAGATACTGTCATTGCTTTCTTTCTCTAGGGTTAAGTTTATGGCTGAATCAACGCACGTATCAACTTGCCGAGAAATGGTTCATTGGTTCATTCTCGTTTTTTCATAACCACAAAATGTATCATCCATATATCGACAGTATTCTTTAACTTAGCAAGGAAAGAATCAACTAGGATTGGACCTAATTTGGTGAACCCATAGCCACACCATCAGTTTGTTTATAGTATTCCTTATTAAAAATAAGCAATAAAATGACCGATAATGCTGTGGATACATATTAGAGTAGAGCCAGAGTGAGATGAGGATCTCATTGAAAAGTAAATATTTCTTCACTCCACCCTTTTGCCTTTCTAAATGGATCTAAATGGGGATTTGTTTTTCTATATTTTTCGCTTATGTTACATAATAGAAGGTAGACACGATGATGTACAGATATATTCTTAGCAAAAAACGATTTCTAAGAAAGTGTTCTGTCTTACCTACTACATTAAGAAACTTAGACAATCTAGAATCACCCAACCTCTACTTTCACAATTTGTCAACTCTTGTATCTTACCTATTCTACTTCACTGCTCCCCGTTAGTCTTTCCTGGGCTACTAAAAAAGGACTATACCATCCTGAGAAGGATGTTGAAGGTAGTTAGTAGGACTAGTGGTGTAAATCTCAGTCAGCTCGTCACTACTTTAGTTGATAGGCATCTGAATACATGCGAAAAATGGTCTGAAACCCTACTCTCCGACCCCCAACACCCCCTCCCCTATTCCCAACTCTCGCCTTGTATCTCATCAGGTAGAACCAGAAATCAGTATAAAATAATCTATGCTCGTACAACCAAGTACAGGAACTCAACGATACCATACTTGGCCCGTGTTCTAAGTGACAGAGACAATGTTAAGCGCGAAACCTATGACTTGCTTTGTTGTTAATAATCATAATTTTAGGCTCTTTTATTTCTCTTTTATTTTGTATTCTATAGTGAACTCCTTAGCTACCTAAATTATTAACATTGGCTTCCTTTTTTGTACTTTACTGTATTCCTTCTTTTGTGTATCTACTGGTTCCGACTATATTAGCACTATGAGTAGTACAAAATTGTCCTGTCATTAACCATCATGTAATTATTAGCTTTTGTGGTTGTTATTATTTTTTGTTCGGCAATATTACTTGACAATCTTGGTTGTGAAAGCCATTATCACCATCTTATAATTGTGTATTATGCAGGATTACTCACACTACCACTACAAACACTGCATTAGACCTGACAATAAAAAACAAAACAACAACCCTGAAATGTTATTTTATGATTGTTTAGAGTTGTTTCAATCAAATTAACTGATCATCTTGGCGATAAACATTTCTTAAATATCATTCCATAACTTCTTGTATGACTATAGCTTTACTGTCACCATGCATAGTCATATCATAGCTTCCACTACCCAATACTGACATATTATTATATGCTGTTTATTTTCCCTTCTACTTCTTGGTATTTTTTTGCATTTTTTTTATTATTTTGTGTTTTTTTGTTGTTGTTGTCTTTATATTTATTTTTTTGAAATATTCCTTTTAAACGTTGGATAAAATTAGATGCAAATATTGTAGAGATGTGCTGAAAATTCCACACTGTACCACTAGTACTGTTTCTGGAATAAAGCAAATTATTATTATTATTATTAAAAAAATATATGTATTTATATACCATAACATACCAATAGGATACATTTGATGTCTTCTTCGTCTTCTTATTCTGCTGCTGCTCCTGCCCCTGTTGTTCTCTTCCCTCTGAACATGTTGATGATTCATGCTTATTATTAGATCTTGACATTCTACCGTTATTTGATGAAGACGCATTTGTCGAGGTATTAGCAAGTGACAGGAATAATTCAGCTGATTTAACCAGATGTGGAATTAATTCACTCACACTGGGATGTTGATTACACCCTGGAGGATTTCGTATCATTGATGTAGACATTGAATTCAATCTTGGTGATGTTGACCAACATAATTTTGGTGTGTGTGATTGTGGTGTCCCACTAACACCACTATTCCCATTATTATTATTTGTTAATGATAATGTCGATGAAGTTAACGAGGAGGTTTTATGCAGATTATTATGATTATTATTATAATTACTATTTGAAGAATCATGTTTTTCAGGATCTAAATAATTCAGAGTGAGTAGATGTCTGTAAAAAAAGAAAAAGTAAACAACAAAGTATATGGGTCGTTGTATGCGCGTCCTTTCAAAACTTGTTAGAGAACATTATCCAACGGGTTGATCTCCGACGAAATCTCAGCACGAATACAGAGGGCTAGTTTCGCATACGCCAGTTTACGCCGTCTCTGGCATAGACGCGATATCCGACTATCGACCAAAGGGCTCAACAGTCCGCTCAGTCTTCCTTTATGGCTGTGAGACCTGGCCATTGAGAGTTGAAGACATGAAAAGATTATCTGTCTTCGATCATAGGTGTCTGCGTTCTATCTCCCGCGTGAAGTGGTATCATAAGGCGAGTAATACTGAGGTTAGGCATCGGTCGAGTGCTAGGTAAGGAGGGGAAATCAATCGACGAAACTGTGAAATTACATCGACTGAGATGGTTACATGTGTTACGTATGCCTAGTCATCGCCTTCCTCGACGTGAAATGTTAGCTGATATAGGGTCAGGCTGGAAAAGAGCTAGCGACGGTCAAACGAAAACATGGCACCAGTCAATGAAATCCACAACAGTTAGTCTAAGCCACGTAGGAAAATGTAGACTTCGTGGTTGGGGTCCTCGGGAAGTTAAAAACCAATGGTTGGAAACAATTGGTAACATGGCTCAAAATCGTTCTCAGTGGCGCAGATGCATCCACTCCTTGTGACTTATGATTTCCAATGAAACTATATTGTTCTTCGTTATTACTATTCCTTTGTCTCACACCTCTGTTTACTGTCTATATTATGCATTGCTTTTACTTTCTTCTCTTCCTTTGTGTGCTACATGGAGTGGAGTGTGGCGACTTGAACTGCCACAAAGTTCTATGTCGAAAACCGACCGACCGATCCAGAGTGGCTGCAAAGAGGAGGCACCGGTTCAATCAGAAGTGCCATTATTGAACATCTGATCAACACCTCCCCCATAACATCTCAACTGATTCTTTTTCAAAGTTATTTACAAAGTCAACAGTAACCTACTAAAAGCAGTAAGTATGTTCCCAACTTCTCTGTAATATTGCAGAAGCCCTCGCAATATGCATCGAGAAGCCAGAGTTGTGTATCACAAAAGAAATTAGTCCAACCTCTACAACTACCATGGACATAGTTCGGTATGTTACCTTAGCTTCCGCTTTTGTTTATTTTTTCTTCTTTCGTTCTCTCTTTTTCTTTTTGATCTTTTTTCGTTCACTGTGTGTGTGATTCTTACTTCTCCTCAGTCTTCATTCGATTTTTTCAGTTATAAAAACAGTTATTTTAAGTTTGTTTCCATGCTTTTCCGGTTCACAATTATAATTCGATTAAAATAACTATTTTACAATTATATCTTAATCCTGTGCAATTTTTGTGTTTTTAAGGCTCTTGTAATCTATATTCACACCTATATTCACACAACTTCCATTTCAAGTTAAACTTATTATTTTAATTTTTGTTTCCATACTCCTGTAATTCGCTATAATCCCGAGTAATTTTGTTTCTAAGGCTCCTGTAATCTATATTCGCACCTCCTAATTCCTGAGGTTCGAACCCAGGACCATCCGGTTGCAAGGCGAGATCGTAGGCCATTAAGCCACTGGGACCCGATCCAATGGCCAGTTTATGAATTCCAACTTCTGCCCCATTCAGGTAGGTAGTCACCTGGGTTCTAATGGTGAGTCGTGCGGTTCAGTGCCGTACAGCAGGTCGGGTGTGTAAGGACAAATACTCGCCAATGACATTCGCTAGTGGTCACGCCATATCATAAATTGGCAAAAGTTGGAATTTATGACCTGGCTATTGGATCGGGTCCCATTGGCTGCTAAATGGTCTACGAACTCGCTAGTCTTGTAACCAGAAGGTCCTGGGTTCGAACTCCCTGTGGTGGATACGTACTGATGAAGAGTCCCGAAATGGGACAAAACAGCTGTCCAGTAGTCCCAGCTTGTTTTCCAACAAGCTTCTCTAACTGATGTCAGCTCATGATGAAATCCTCCAATCAATCAAAAACAAAAAGTATTTAAAACGATTAGGAGGATGAACTGCGAAAGTTTCATGGTTGAAAAAAAGTTGTTTACAAAACACGTGACAAGGGGATAAAAATTATAGACAGCCTTGTAGATCACAATTGAAATGACTCCGAAACAGATTTTTCATCACAGAGCGAACAATAACATGCTGCGTCGGTGGCACACAGTGGTTGGGACTCTCGCTGACCATGCACATGGTTCAAGGTTCGATCCTTGGCCGATGGTGTCATATCCCACTGTATTCACCAATTTGAATGTACGTACGGACACAAATACACAGGGAGGACTCAATGACCTCTGCAAGTAAGGGCTGGCTTCACAGCATATTCCTAAATGGCTTCAGAAGCAAACAGAATCTTCAGAACCCATTAATGGTAGGAACAGGAGACGACCTAGCTCCTCTATTGCGAAACATAGTATAGAGACAGGACTTAAAATTGACGTTTACACATCTTTTAAACCTATCTATAAAACGTGTTTGGGGCGTATTCTAAAGTTTGTGGAAGCCCTAGCTAGGTTGAAACCGCCTTTATGCAATCAAGTCAACAATTCGTCATCACATTAAGCCTTCCTTGGTAAACTTTGTTTTGATACCAGCCATTGATCTTCATTGTTATTTTGACCTTCAATATATATGTGAAAAGTCCATGTGTGATCAGATTGCTCGAAATGTGTCTTGCGCAAATATGCACATTACACGATTCAGACAAATTACATCTTCTTAGTGCTTTGTCTAAATTCATAAAGGAAATTAATTGTATATATATATATATATATATATATATATATATATAATTAATTTCAACGTTTTCATTTGCCTAATTCACCTTTTACTTATTCTCCCATTACGTAATCAATTCTTCAATGCACTTCTAACCACTAGATTATAAAAAATCTCGTTTATTTTAAAAGAAAGGTAAATATTCCTACGAACGAAAATTTCTTGTTTTCTAAAATACCACCACTATACCAATCGAAAATATCGAAAATCATGTGATCATGGAATAGTCCTTGAGAGAGAGAGAGAGAGAAAATCAAGACGAACAAACAACCTTGAATTTCAGATGTAATATGTACATATATATGTGAAACATTTATTTCGCTCCAATAAATATCGATCCGATTATAGACATGTGATATATGTATATATATATATATATATATATATATATATATATCCAACTAAACAGTTATAGCGTACTGTTCAATTTTCAGTATCAATCAGATTGTTTTAATGCACTTATTTTTAAGTAGGAATATGATTTAAAAATGTAGAGAGAATAAATTTTAATAATGATATATAAAAAAAATTCGATTTGACTGCAAATAATTAATTGAGAGAGGCATGTTGAAAACAAGTATTATATGAGCTAATCAATCGAAAATTGAAACATAAATCCATTATTTAGAAGTAAATTCATGGAAATGTAGCAGCACAGTAGCGTAAATATTTAACTTCGCGCCAATAGGTTCGAATCAAGCAGTGCTTAAATCAGCTTGGGCGATTCAGTGTTCAATTCATAGCCTGGCAGCTTCGGATGACCTAGTTCTAGAACTAACTTCTGGAGAAATTTTAAAAAAGTACCTTGTGGTTCGGCAGTTAGCACTGTAGACTTTGAATCCAACGGACTGAGTTCTATTCTCGGCGAGGCCTAGAGCCTTTGTGCGTCAAGGCTAGAATGTTCAACAATCACACATGTGGTCCAGCTTTGGCTGTCAACCGAGGAACTCCTAAACCTCAAAACTTTATGCAGTAAAAAGTAACATCAAGACTACTGAAACTTCAAAACTCTAAGCCTGAAGGCTGATATTCCATTTGGACATCTAGATGGACCACGAATTGGTCATACACGTAAAGAAAGGATGATCAGCCGTGAAGGAAATAGCAACACAGGTTTGAATTTCGAAAAGGAGCATAGATATACCACATATTTTTTGTATATAAAATTATTTTGTGTGCTTTCAGAAGTGTGTGGGTAGTTGTTACTTCCCGACCGCACATCATGTTTATTGCTGACAAAATCTCAGCACCAATACAGAAGGTTCGTTTGGATTTTGCCTGCCAAATTACGTCATCCCTCGCTCAGTAGGAGTGATATCCGGTTGGCTGTCAACAAAAGGGCTCGACAGTTCTCCCTACCCTCCTTTATGAATGACTATGAGACGTGGTCATTGACATTGGACAGCATGAAAAGCCTACCCAGCTTTCTTTGATCATATTTGTCTGCGTTCTATCTCCAGTGCTAAGTGGTATAATAAAGTGAGCAATATTGACGTGAGGCTTCAGTGGAATGCTAGGTATGGCGAGGAAATAAATCGATGAGGTTGTGAAGCAGCTGCATCAACTGAGATGGTTAAAACAAGTATTACGCATGCATCTCTAGCTATCGCCTTCCTCGGCAGTAAATGTTAACAGACATAGGATCGGGTCGGAAAACAGCTAGCTTCGCATTTAAACCACTCAGTTCGGAGAACACAACTACACCGAAATATTTTACCTGAGCTTTATGGCTGTGAGTGAGACATGGCCACTGAAAGTAGAAGATACGAAAAGCCTGGCAAGCTGTCTTTGATCATAGGTGTCTGCGTTTTATCTCTCGTGTGGTATAATAAGTCTTCGATCGAGTGCTTAGTTAGCAGGGGAAATCAATCGACGACGTTGTGAAGCAGCTGCATCGGTTCAGATGGTTAGGACATGTGTTATGTATGCCAGCCAACAGGCTGTGTTGGCCAACGTAGGATCAGGTTGGAAAAGAGTTAGCTAGAAGGGTGGTGGTCGAACGAAAAGATGGTTTCATCAGTCAATCCAACCCACAACAGTTAGTTTAAGCCAACCACGACTGCTGGAGACAATTGGTGATGTGGCTCAAAACCGTTCTTAATGGTTGGCGCAGATGCATTCACTCTTTGTGATTTGCCAGTCATATCCAATCAAAGTACTCTATTGTTCTTCCATATTACCATTCTTTTTGCCTTACTCACA